GTGACCTAATGACAGTGACATGTTTAATGGGTTAAAGGGACAGTCCCATGTAAGAGCAAAGTGACCTAATGACAGCGACATGTTTAATGAGTTAAAGGGACAGTCCCATGTAGGAGCAAAGTGACCTAATGACAGCGACATGTTTAATGGGTTAAAGGGACAGTCCCATGTAGGAGCAAAGTGACCTAATGACAGTGACATGTTTAATGGGTTAAAGGGACAGTCCCATGTAAGAGCAAAGTGACCTAATGACAGCGACATGTTTAATGAGTTAAAGGGACAGCCCCATCTAGGAACAAAGTGACCTAATGACAGCGACATGTTTAATGGGTTAAAGGGACAGTCCCATGTAGTCGCAAAGTGACCTAATGACAGTGACACGTTTAATGGGTTAAAGGGACAGTCCCATGTAGGAGCACAGTGAGCTAATGACAGTGACACGTTTAATGGGTTAAAGGGACAGTCCCATGTAGGAGCAAAGTGACCTAATGACAGCAACATGTTTAATGGGTTAAAGGGACAGTCCCATGTAGGAGCAAAGTGACCTAATGATAGCGACATGTTTAATGGGTTAAAGGGACAGTCCCATGTAGGAGCACAGTGAGCTAATGACAGTGAACTGTTTAAAGTGACACGATAGGCACCCATATCTCAGTGTCCCTGTCTCACTTAGTCCTGCAATGTAAAACATTACAGTTTCAGACAACCACTAGAGGCGCTTCCGAGAGTTTACAGGACTCCAGGTCGTGTAAGCAACATTGGACGTCCTCACGCTCTGCATGGGTCAATGCACTCCTATGGGGAGGGCCTAATGTGCTCACAACGCCCCTGCGCGTTAGACTCCCTTGTTAGATGACGTCAGAGGAGGTGGAATCGGTTGAGAAAATAAAGGTTTTTGCATTCCTAACACTAAAGAACTCCTTTAATTGGGTAAAGTGACCTAATGTCAGGGACATGTTTAGGAAGTGACTCTATGTTAATTCTGTGATCTAATAAATTTTGCTCTCTGCTAATTTTTTTTTTTTAAATTGACTGTCCTCTCTCTCTTTTGAAGTCTGTCTTCTTTTTGTATTAGAGGTCTCGCCAGTCTATCCTCTCTTTACATGTCACTAGATCTTACGTGTCTGTTCTCCTGCTGTCTCTGCTGTGTGTCTCTTTGCCTGTCTAGTGAGTCTGTCCTCTCTCTCTCTCCCCCTACAATCACTAGGTCCGTTCCCCTTCCAGTGCCCCTGGCCCGGCCCTGCTCCAGGCCTGGGGTAGGTGCAGTCACCATGGAGAGCGCTTATAATGTCCAAATAATATAGTGTGATAGTAGGTGTAAGGGGGGCCGGGGGTTGCTGCAGTGTTAGAGCTCCCTCCCCCTCACCCCAGCTCACCCTGCATATCCAGGCTTCGCTTTACCTCCGTCTGCTCCCAATGTCTCCCATTCTGCATCTGTTAATCTGAATCTCTGTCCATATCTTCTCCGGTCTGTCTCTTCACCGGGCTGGTACCGCTCTCTCCCCCTGTCTGTCTCTTCACCGGGCCGGTACCGCTCTCTCCTCCTGTCTGTCTCTTCACCGGGCCGGTACTGCGCTCTCCTCCTGTCTGTCTCTTCACCGGGCTGGTACCGCTCTCTCCCCCTGTCTGTCTCTTCACCAGGCCGGTACCGCTCTCTCCTCCTGTCTGTCTCTTCACCAGGCCGGTACTGCTCTCTCCTCCTGTCTGTCTCTTCACCAGGCCGGTACTGCTCTCTCCTCCTGTTTGTCTCTTCACCGGGCTGGTACCGCTCTCTCCCCCTGTCTGTCTCTTCACCGGGCCGGTACCGCTCTCTCCTCCTGTCTGTCTCTTCACCAGGCCGGTACTGCTCTCTCCTCCTGTCTGTCTCTTCACCAGGCCGGTACTGCTCTCTCCTCCTGTTTGTCTCTTCACCGGGCTGGTACCGCTCTCTCCCCCTGTCTGTCTCTTCACCGGGCCAGTACCGCTCTCTCCTCCTGTCTGTCTCTTCACCTGGCCGGTACCGCTCTCTCCTCCTGTCTGTCACTTCACCGGGCTGCTAACACTCTCTCCTCCTGTCTGTCTCTTTAACAGCCTGGCACCTGTCTCTCATACTGTTGTCTCTTACATAAGTTGCTATCACTCACTTCTAAGAGTGTATGAGCAGATTCTCAGTGTGAATGGGCAGATTCTCAGGGTGAATGGGTAGATTCTTAGAGTGAATGAGCAGATTCTCAGGGTGAATGGACAGATTCTCAGGGTGAATGGACAGATTCTCAGGGTGAATGGACAGATTCTCTGGATAAATGGACAGATTCTCTTTGTGAATGGGCAGATTCTCTGGGTGAATGAGGCAGATTCTCTGGGTGAATGGGCAGATTCTCTGGGTGAATTGACAGATTCTCTGGGTGAATGAGGCAGATTCTCAGGGTGAATGAGGCAGATTCTCTGGGTGAATTGACAGATTCTCTGGGTGAATGAGGCAGATTCTCTGGGTGAATGGGTAGATTCTCTGGGTGAATGGGCAGATTCTCTGGGTGAATGAGGCAGATTCTCTGGGTGAATGGGCAGATTCTCTGGGTGAATGGGCAGATTCTCTGGGTGAATGAGGCAGATTCTCTGGGTGAATGAGGCAGATTCTCAGGGTGAATGAGGCAGATTCTCTGGGTGAATGGGCAGATTCTCAGGGTGAATGAGGCAGATTCTCAGGGTGAATGAGGCAGATTCTCAGGGTGAATGGGCAGATTCTTTGGGTGAATGGGCAGATTCTTTGGGTGAATGAGGCACATTCTCAGGGTGAATGGGCAGATTCTCAGGGTAGATTGTCACGATCAATGGATGAATGGGCAGAATGATAGACGTATGTTGGGATTTTGTACTTGAAAGCTGCCTACTTTGAAATCTACAATGATTTAATCATTTCTAACCTTCCTATATTGCCACCAAGGCCTTGAACACAGGTGAAATATCTCCTTGTCAGGAGTTCAAACCAGCACTTGCTGGATTCTGAAAATACCACATTCACCACCTCTTCTTCACCTCTCCCCTCTCCTTTTACTTTCCAATTCTTCACCTGCTCACTTTTCTTTACTATCCCCCCTCTCTTCACGCCCTCCCTCCTTCTCTTTACCCCCCTCTTCTTTTACATTCACCCCTTCTATTTAACCCTTCCCTTGCCTCTTACATTTACTCCCAACGTTTTCACCATCAGAGATTTCCTCATTCCCTCCCGCATCCCTTCTTTTATTTATTTTTTTCCTCCTCGAATATCATGCCTCATCCCCTATATACTCCCCAACCTTAATATCCCCGTCACTAGCAGGCCCCCCCACCTCCTATGCACAGCAGACAAAAGGCACCAGCATCACAGTGTGTGGGTGGGAGGCGGGGGGGCTAGCAGATTATTACTCGCTGCACACCCAGCACAGATAACATCCCAATATATATGTATATATTCAGCAATTCAAGGACATTAACATTTCAAAGGTTTCGCTTCAAAGACGCAGTGTCAGAGAGAGGGACAACCCCCCAACACTCACCCAAATATACAGCCCAGCCCGACTCTGCTACAGGATATGTATCCATACAATACTCCATCTATAACATGGGATGGGGTTATATGGCGCAATGGGAGGAGTTATAGGGAGGGTTATATGGCGCAATGGGAGGAGTTATAGGGAGGTTATATGGAGTAATAGGGGGTGTTATAGGGAGGTCATATGGAGAAATATGAGTTATAGGGAGGAGTTATAGGGAGTAATAGGGGAAGTTATAGGGAGGGTTATATGGAGTAATAGGAGGAGTTATAGGGAGTAATAGGAGGAGTTATAGGAAGGGTAATAGGGAGTAATAGGAGGAGTTATAGGGAAGGTTATATGGAGTCATAGGAGGAGTTATAGGGAGGTTATATGGAGTAACAGGAGGGGTTATAGGGAGGGTAATAAGGAGTAATAGGAGGAGTTATAGGGAGGTTATATGGAGTAATAGGAGGAGTTATAGGGAGGGTAATAAGGAGTAATAGGAGGAGTTATAGGGAGGTTATATGGAGTAATAGGAGGAGTTATATGGAGAGGTTATATGGAATAATAGGAGGAGTTATAGGGAGAGGTTATATGGAGTAATAGGAGGAGTTATTGGGAGAGGTTATATGGAGTAATAGGAGGGGTTATAGGGAGAGGTTATATGGAGTAATATGAGGAGTTATAGGGAGAGGTTATATGGAGTAATAGGAGGAGTTATAGAGAGAGGTTATATGGAGTAATATGAGGAGTTCTAGGGAGAGGTTACATGGAGTAATAGGAGGAGTTATAGGGAGAGGTTATATGGAGTAATAGGAGGAGTTCTAGGGAGAGGTTATATGAGTAATAGAAGGAGTTATAGGGAGAGGTTATATGGAGTAATAGGAGGTGTTATAGAGAGAGGTTATATGGAGTAATAGGAGGAGTTATAGAGAGAGGTTATAT